GTGGCAAAACCACTGAGCTAAAACCCACGCCCGAGATGCATTATTTCATTAACTTCAAAATAACCTCATGAAGATACCTGATTTACAGATGGGAAAGCTGAAGCCTAGAGAACTTATTTAATATGCCCTGGGGACAGAGCTACTGTAGTTGAGGTAGAATCAGGGTTTGTACTCAAGACTGCCTAATCTCCAATCCTGAGATTAAAACCATCATAAGTGTGTAAGTTATTTTTCTCTTGTTGCTGAGACAAAATACCTGGCAGCAAAAGTTAAAGGGGAAAGGGTATATTTGGCTTACAGTTCATAGAGGTTTCAGTCCATAGTTAGCTGGCTCCAAGACAGGAATAGCAAATAGGATTCATAGAAGAGAAACAACATGGAATGCACAAGGTAGCAAAGGCAACAAGAGGGGCCTTCACTGTCTTTCTACTCTTTTATCCCATCCAGACTACCAGGATTAGGGTGGTCCTAAACCTAACACTCATGTGCATTGGTTTAGTAATCACACGCCCTTAATCCCAGCATCACACATTCCAGATTCAACTACCTCTGAGAAAGTCCTAACCTCATTGCATGAGGCTTTGGGGGAACAGCTAAACACAAACCATAACAATAATTTCTCTAGTTCACTTCTCACTTTGATTAGAGGGTTATCATTATAAAACACAGAAGTATTTTATTAATTCCTTTAAAGACTTTGATCACTTACCCTAGTACTATGCCTTTAAGCCAAATTAAGCCATTTGCCGCAGATACTCAGAATCTGTTTGTTATATGGGTAGGTGTCTTAGTTACTTTTCTCTTTGCTGGGACAAAATATCTGACACCCACAAGTTAAAGGAGGACAGGTTTATTTCAGTTCACAGTTTGTAGAGGTTTTAGTCCATAGTTGGCTGGCTCCAAGGCAGGGTGGCATGGCAGAGGGGCATTGCAGAGGAAAATCAGTCCACGGCATGGCAGGCAGAAAGCAGCAGCAGTAGGGAGCCTGCCTTCTTTCTGTCCTTTATATTCCATCCAGGATGCAAACCTATTGATTGATGCCACCCACATTCAAGGTGAGGCTTCCATTATCCAAACCCAGAACTATGTTCAACCCATTTAGTTATCACATATCTGAAATACCAGTATCACACACTCTAATCCAGCATCACACACAAAAGCCCCACCTATGAGCACATGAGGCTTGGGGGGTGGGATCTAGATACAGGCCATAATAGTAGGATATTACAACTTTTTTTTTTTTTTTAGTTTTTTGAGACAAGGTCTCACTACTAGTTCAGGCTGGCCTGGACCTCACGGCAATCCTCCTGCCTCTGCCTCCCAAGTGCTGGGATTACAGGGGTGTGCCACCACGCCCAATAGGATATTACAACTTTTAATAGCTCTAGTTTCTTATTCTATTTCAGTTTTTTCTAGGTCCCAATGTGTGGGATTTTTTTTCTCCACCTTCTCTCTTTCCTCTCTGTTTGGATTTCATGATTGTGTTAGCTTTCCATTGCAGTGACAAAACCTGAGATAATCAACCTTTAAAAGGAGGAAATATTTAATTTGGTTCACAATTTCAGAGGTTTTAGTCCATGGTTGTTGGTTCTGTTGTTTTGGGACCTGGAGTGAGGCAGAACGTCATAGTGAGGGACATGTAGTAGAGCAAAGCTTACCGCAGTCGGGGAGCAGAGAAAGGAAGGGGCATGCTGAGGTCCCAAAATCCCCTCCAAAGGCTCATCCCCAGTGACCTACCCCCCCCCATGCCCTGCCTCCTAAAAGTTCCATTACCTCCCAGTAGTGCCACAGGCTGATGACCAAGCCTTTAACAAATGGTCTTTGGGAGACATTTGAGATTCAAACAATAATAACAATTAAGCTCAGCTTTCTCAGATTGGACTCTTGACTTTAAGTATTTATGTGTTGTTCCTTCCTGTTCTTAATTTCTTCAATCAAATACCCCTTCATCCCTCCTTTGGTTTCTGGGATTCCACCTTGGCACTTGTGTCAATGTTCTAAATATGTCTACATCCCAAAATACAGCATCTTAAATTGACAATCTTGGCACTTTGACCCCAAACAAATTTTCTAGGCTTAATCTTACATCTTTCTAAGGGTTCATAAGCCTTTAAAAATGGTTTCTTAAGAGTCAGTTCTAGAAAATTCTTAGCAATCATATATTTATTAAACATACCTCCTACACTATTTCTCTTTTCTCCTTCTAAGACTCGAAAGTAAATGTAAGGATTTTTTGACAACCAGTAGGATTCATTTATCATATCAAGTTTTTTTCCTCATAAGTTATAGCTTGTTTTTTTCAGGTATTTGTACAATTGAGCTAGTTAGGGCACAAGACAAAGAAAACACAGGCAAAGATAAAGACCTATACATGTTATAGTGCACTATAAAAACATTTGTTTTGAAGGAAAAAACCCCTTATAACCAATATCCCACTTATAAATAAAAATGGGATGGTAAACATTTCCTTATTTTTAACCATATATTCATGTATATCTTTAAGCTTTGTATGCATAGTTTATTGATCTAATGCTACTCTTTCACTGGCAGGATCCCTATAAGTCAAAGACAAGTATCAGGAAGGAAAAAGTCCTAGCAAATCTCCAGATAGATTTGGAGGGTGGGCAGCAGTTCTCTTCAGTAGAAGCAAACAGTGTGCAGGAAGGTCTTGCTGGTCTTCTTCTCCATCTCCTTAAGCACCTCCTGGATCTCATTGTCCACGTCTTCAATGAGCTGGATATACTGGCAGAGTTTACAGATGAGGAACGACCCGAGGATGGCCTCTTCATAGTTGTCCTTGATGTCCACGTTGATCACATGCACTGGCTGGCAGGTGTCCTGTTCTCTGGAATTCAGATATTCTACCACCTGGTCATAGACTCGCTCTTCACAAGTGAGAATCAGATCAAACAAATCTGTGCAGTTCTGGAACCTTTCCGGCTGAGGCTTGATTCTCTTATTTCTGTCCAACATACCTAAAACGCCATTCTGTGTATAAAATTTCTTATTTTTCCTTGTAAGATCCTTGTATATCTGTTCATATGTTGTTTGGAAATCATAAATATTTGGCTTGTCAAGGATTTGTCCTGAAATCTTCACGTGAGTTCCTGTTCCAAAAGACCGGACGTTGAATCCTCGTTTGTGGAGGATGTGGTGTGCCTCCATGCTCCGGTTCTGATTGTTGGAGCACACTACCGCCACTTTTAGCGGTGACCCAGGCATGTTGCTGCGTGGACTGTAACGCTTCGGCCTCTAAGAGTTTCCACTCAGTTGCTGTGCTTTGATGCAAGCAAAGTGGAAGCTGTTATACTGTCAACTCCGGTGCTGAACAGTGGCAGCACTGCGCACCAGGAAGGGTGCCCCCTCATAATGAAGGGTGGCGTCACAAAGAGGCCCCACCCCTTTTGAGCCAGCCCCGGAGGAGGGCAGCCAGGCAACCAAACGACTCTTGCCCGGAGTTTGCGTGCTGGGCCCAGATTCCACTCCTGTGAAGCAAGATCTTCTGGGTAGGGTTCATTAGTGTCCCATCACAATGTAAACTGTAAACAAGGCTTTATCGTAGAACCCGCACATACTCTCCTTTTTACACTTTTTATCCTTTCTTTCCATCTTGCAGTCTGGATATTTTCTGACCTGTTTTCTGGTTCATATGTGTCCAATCTGCTAAGCCTACACACCAAATTCTTAATTTTATTTCTCAACTCCAGAATTTTCATTTTTAATCATGTCTTTTATTTTGTTTGTAGCAAACAACAATTATGTTTAAATTGTCTGTTAACTAGAATATCTGAAGCCTCTGTGGATATATTGCTGTATTTCTGTGGTCTGTTGTTTGTTTTGGCTTTTATTCGTGTCTTTTCTTCATCCCCTTACCTTCCCCTCCCTCTTCCCCTCCCTTTTCTCCTCCCTCTTTCCAATACCTTCTCCCTCCCTTTCTATCCTCTGCCCTTCCCCTTCCCCTTCCCTCCCCTCTCCTCTCTCTTTCCCCTTCTTTCCTCCTGCCTTTCTGT